CACCTACTGCCGATCCGGTCGAGGGACCCCCCTTTGGGGCACGTGATCCCCCGCTTTTGCACACCCAGGTGGAGGGATGCCGGGTCCCAATCCAGGTTCTCGAGCAGGCACTGAGAACATCAAAAGGAAAAAACCCCTGTGGCAGCTGGTTCAGGCGGATCCATTGCCTCCGCCGTTTCCAGGGTCTCTCCCCACTTTGCCTTCCATCGCCTCTTCATTCCCGTGGTGGGAGTATTACCCTCTCCTCGGAGTCCGACCAGGGGCTCACCCAGCTGTGGCCGCCTTCCTCCTGCATCTCTGGCTCCCAGACTACTCTCTTCTCCTCTCCCCCAGCTCCATTTTCCGCCCCCGGATATTGCCCACACTGCAGATTAGCCCCAATCTGCTTCACCTGGAGAGGAAGTAAAGCTGGGCAGGTGTGGACAGGAAGCTCCCATCACAGCGTGGATGTCCTGGTATGGTGAGATCCATGCTCCTGGCCAGGGTTGAACTTCAAGTGAGTATCCTTCGGACTCTTGCACTCCACCCCAGCTCAACATGCTGCAGATGGTCGGAGTGGGGCACAAGAGTGCTCCGGTGTGCATTAGCCAGCAGGAAGCCCCTGTACTGAAGCACCCTCATGCTCCAGCCAGCTGCCTCAGTGTCTACATGTGCAGTGCTCCATTGTATAAAATTCTATGGCAGGATAGTACTTGTATTTGCAAGTACTACCCTGCTGTGGAATTTACTAGTTTACTCCAGCCTAATAGCCCTGCACATGTAGCCACAAGACATTTACTGCAGACGCTCTGCAGTAAACATCTTGTGTTGATGCACCCAGTGAGACAGACATTACATTGAAACAGGGAGATCTGCTCAAGTGTCTCGTACTTATTAGGTCTCCTTAGAGCAAGAAGGGGTGTGATTAGAAATCAGGCCCACATTCTATGTATAGATATAGTACAATTCTGGGACAACTCTGGGGTGTAAGGGCCAGTGGGTATAAGGACCAGACCAGTTTTAGAAGCTAACACTGCTTATTGGGCTCTGTGCTGTGATTAGTGTGTTTGGCAGGTTTCTGTGATGCCCAGCCGAGACCAAGACCAGGACCAGGACCAGGACCACGTTTTGCTCTCTTCAGTCTAAGCATATGTCCAGATATTAGTGGAGTGACTTCTTGGAGGGGGGGAACGTGGGGGACACATAACTGCTTGTCTGCGTTGGATTGATAAGGTTTACTTGTCTACATAACTATAAGTCTTGCCAGGACAGTATGTTTTCAGTGGGCATTTTAATGATCTATCTTCTCTACAAGCAGAAATGTTATAATGCCAGGCCTCTTCCTCATCTTTTGTTAACCTACCTCTTCTGATGGGAAGCACTTGCATCTCATTGACTGTGCTTATATTTTTTTTTAAATAAATGAAAATAAAATAAAATAAAACATTAATAATTGCTGCCCCTCCAAAGAAAATACTCATTGTTAGGATGTGAAAAGCCTATTAAAATAGATATTAACATTTAAAGTTAAAATCATTGTAGAGATTTCAGAATTTCTCAATACATAGGATACCACTAGATGAATAATAACTCCATACACATCTAGTACATCACATTTCAGGGTTTTATAACTCTGAAATAGGTTGGTAATTACCTCCATTAACGAAAGTTAGGATTTTCACATACAGCTATCTTCCTGGAAGCTGAACCTTTAAGAAAAATAGTAACTATTGTGAGAAACAGGCAGAAATTGCAAGACTGGGCAAGAGTACGTCAGGTATCCATTTCTCGATAAACTAAATATCCACTAAATTATGCATGTTCTGTTAGACAGAGTACATACATGTAAAAGCATACTGGGGCCTAACTTATTTATTGTATATCTCCACTGAAGTCAGCATCCACTAACACTCTGAGGATGCATATGCATAAAACCAAGAGGAAACATGGGGTTTTCCATTCCTCCTCTCCTCCCCACCCTTTTGTACTGGCTGGAAGAAGGCTCTTCCATTGGATTGCCCTCTTGTGGCAAAAGTCTGAACTAGAAGACTGAGTTGGGCAGTCAGGCAGTTGGTGCTTAAGAACAAGTACACACATAAAAAGAAAATCCAGCTTCAGGCAAAATGCCCCATCCTTCAGTTGTAAATCAGAGATGAAATCAAACTACAAACCGTGTGGCCTGAATTTCTGGGATCCATATAAAATAAGGATAGGAATATATACCATATGTGTATTTTGTGTAAACAAAATTTGGGGCTAGTTAGAGAGAACTTATGAGACTATTTAAGGCCTGTGATATACAGGGGACCAGACCAGAGGATTTAGTGATCCCTTCTGGATTTAATTTTTATGAAGTTATGGATAATATTCACTAGAGGTGCACTGATACATCTATAAAAAAAATAGAGTGTATGGGAAATCGGCCTGATGTGGCTGATAATTTGGCTAGTAAATGCCCATGCATGTGTGCAGCCACAACCCAGCATGTAGGCAGCCAGGAGCACAGCCCAGCAGCTTGGAGAACCATGTGTGGCTGGTAAGTCTGTTGTAGTAGAAGGGGAGGGAGAAGGAAGGGGAGTGGGGTGCGCAGATTAAGACCCCCGTGGTGAGGAAGGAAGTGGGGCAGGGGCTAGGGCAGGTGCTGTCCAGCCGGGCCAAAGCAGGGCGTGGAGCAGAGCTGTGGCTCATCCTGGGGGCACAAGTGGGGGGCAGCTCTTGTCACAGCGTGCACCTTGGGAGGGCACTGGGGGGTGCCCCTGGATTTGTGTGGGGTGTAGGTGGGGTGGACTGCCACTGTGGGCTGGGGCCAGGGCTGCACCAGGCTCTTCCCGGCATGTTGTGGGAGGGGTTGGGCCGAGTTGTGCTTGGGGCAGGGGGCAGTGGCACTGGGAGCGGGGACTATGGGAGGCTATGGTGAATTCTGGGGTGGCTGCAGCCCCATAGCCCCCTCGCAGCACTGCCGCCCCCCGCCCTGAGCACAGCCCGGCCCTGCCCCTACCAGGAAGAGCCTGGCGCAGCCCTGGTCCCAGTCCACAGGTGCATCCTCCTCCCACCCCGCCCTGCCCTGTGAAGTCCCAAGGGAACACACCCCCCCATGCCATCCCAGGGTGCATGTAGTGGCAGGAGCCGCCCCCATACCCTCCGGACAAGCCGCAGCTGTGTCCTGCACCCTGCCCCAGCGCCTGCCCTAACCCCAGCCCCACTCCTCCCTCACTGCAGGGCACCCCCCTTCCCTCCTCCCTCCCCTTCCACCACAACAGACTTACCAGCTGCATACAGTTTTCCAATGTTGGAAATGATGTTTTGGAAGTCGGATCAGTATTGGTCGTTATGCCTCCTTAAAAATCAGCTATCGGTATCAGTCCCAAAATCTCTATCAGTGCACCCCTAATATTCACAGATATTTATGGAAAATAATAGCACCAAACTTTCAACTGTAACAAAATTTGAAACTTTTACATGTTAAAGGTTATCTTCACAGGTGAAACAACTAGACCAAATGACTTTCTTAGTGCAAATTGGGATTAGATATATTCAAAGGACTCTAACAATAAGGGGGACAATATGGGGTGGCTCTGTAGGCCCGAAAGTCTAATATAATTGCAGCCTGGGTCATACAAATTATGGAATAAGGAGCCCCTTTTCTTCAGGACTGGAAGTACAGTAAAACTTCTCACTTCTGTCATGACCCAAAGGCATAATTTTGTGTGTGCTTCGGCACCAGAATTATCCCCGCCAGGTTGCAACTTCATTGCACGGGAGAGTTTCCTATTGCAGAGGAGAACCCCGGTGCAGGGACGAGTTTCCCGCCTCTTTGCAGCTTCTTTTGCAGAGTGCATTGCTCAAGTTACAAGAGAAATGCATGGTGCAAAAGAGTTCCCGCCACCCGTATGCAAATTCGTTCCCCGCTATTGGCTAGTTCTAAATTATTCCCACGTGGCGGCTAACAATTGGCCTGTTAGCCGTATAAGAGGCTTGAGCAGTTTCCGCCCAAGCCGAAGAGGACTCCACATCCATCTCGTGGAGACCCTGGATACGCGGCCGGGCAATAGAGACCCTGGGTGAGATTCAGAGGAGCTTGGTCGCCCACCTCTTCCCGTCTTCGAGCGGAAAGAATTTATAAGACGTATCTCCGATTCCGATTTTGGTGGCGCGTTCACCCAGAGCATCCGGAGCTCTGTTCCGTGGAGCCTAGCAAACTCCACGCGACCGTCCGTGTCATCTGTGTCTGTAACCGCAACTCAAGCAAGTTTTCCAGCCTACACCACTGCCATCTCTGGTGTAAGTAAATAATCTTTAAAATTTACCGTTAAGCGTCTGTGCCTAATTCCAGCTCGTCACCCTCCCTCTCCGATCCAGCGTGCCCGGGCTGCTGGCCACAGCCCGCGTGCAGCACGGAAAAGGGCCCAGGTCGCTCCCGGCCCGCACAACTTCCTCTCCATAATGAGGAGTACATTTACTGATACTAGACAGCATGGAGGATGTTGACAATTACATTCATATCATATACCATGTTCCATTTTAATTTTGTATAAACTAGTAGAATGGATAATCTTATTTTACACTTTTAACATTTATATAATTTATTTTTTTATTATTTTATGATGTATAATTGTAATAATTCATTTTATTGTGTTGTTTTAGTGAAAGTAAATATACAACTACTACTACTTATGGTTACATTCAGAATCAAAAGATTCTGCATGCTGTGGAGTCCCTAGGTACATACTGCATATGCTTTTTCCAAGGAAAAGACAGTACATGTTTTCTAATTTGATTCAAGTCACTGGTCCCACAAGTTTTTAATGTCAAGTATCCAATCAGCCAAAGGATTTGATAACAGGCTGTGGTAACAACCTTAGCATTGAGGACAATGAATGGGTATAAAGACCTGAGCTACACTTGTCTTAGGGGTGGCCTTTTCCATGCACTCTGCCAGGGAAGCAAGGGGAAATATGAAGCACCAGTGGCTCTGATGTACCATATCTATCCTATATAACTTAGGAGAAGACTGCGTTATCTAGGGTTGTGAATCTTTTATGAGCGCTACATTCACACTAGCTACAATATTGCAAGCTTCACATGCGAAACAGCAAAAAGGTTTTTATACAAAATGTCCGTCTTCTTCTCTCTGGTCTATCTGCTGTTTGTACAGTCCATTAGTGTGTGCACATCCCAAGCAACAATGGCGTGTGGTGTCACCTTTGTCTTTTTTGTCTTTGTGCGTGATTTTTGACAACTATAGTGAGCACCTTATGCTGACCAGAGTTAAGGTGAAGTTGACAATGTTTAGGGCACCTTTTCTAGCCTTTTTCTCATGCTACAGAGGTGATCAGTGTGATCCTAAATAGGGCTGCTCAGTCACCCAGGGGGGTGCCAAATTCCACTGCTGCTTTGGTCCAGCAAAAAGTGACCCTATACCCTGAGCTGCCTGTGTGCAGATTTGCATTTACAGCTCCCAGTGTATTCACACCTGCTGTTTTGCTGCTCGCCCATTACCATAGGACTTGAGTGTATCTATGGGGGGATATAGATGATGTCATGGCTTGCACATGAGTTGGATTTAAGTGAGGGAAAGTTGCACAGAGTCACCCTCACTCTCTCATCCAGGTCTCTCTGAATCTATTGGCACAACAGTCTCAAGACGTCTGGAGACAAGTCTGGATGAGGTAGATGGCCATTAGGTCCTACAGCACCCGAACTGATGACCTGCACTGTCCACACAGCCTTCACAGCCAGGGAGATGAACATATCTTTTCAGATACCTGATCCATCAGAGAGGACTTTCCAGAGGGAGCCAGGTGTAGCTGGGCAGGATGATATAAGAGACAAAAACTGATCATAGCTGGAGTCAGAAATGATAAGATATTACTGCATAGTACAGTATTGTATTATGAAAACCAGTATATGCGGTCTTTAAGTCTTCAGTGGATATTGAGATGGACTGCTTATTTCTTTTTTACAATGCTTTGTATTTTCCTGTTTTCAGAGATTCACCACCACCCCCGCCCCTTCATATCCAAACAGAACAGTCTACAATGGTCAAGATAGTATATCTTTAAGTGTTACGTAATCCTGTTTCCTGTTCTCCACCCTTACCTCCCCCCCAACTTCCTTTTACTTCCTTTCAGGTCAACAGGGACTTCTTACAGTATGAGACCTCTATTTGAAGAAAGTGGAACAGCCACCAGGGGGCAAAATATAATAGTAATAGAGCAATATAATAACTAATTTCTCGTGTGATAGCCTCAGCTGCAGTAACATTCCTAAGCTAATTGAAATTTAGAATATATTTTCCCAAAGCTTTACAATGATTTAGCATAGTTCATGCTTGATAAACATTATTTGTGAATTGTTTTTAACACTTATATTATGTATACAGGATCCAAGTCTTAAACACATTTTAACATTATCCATCTAAGATCTTACAGTTAAGCATGTGCTTAAGTATTTGCAGGAACTAGGCCCTAATCTCTCTCTTGGTCTTATCATTTGTTTTGTACTGTATTGTGTTATAGAGAGTCAGTTTCGTGAAGCCAAAGAAGTTAGAGCACAGAGGATTTGGCTCTGATTCCAGATATGCTTCTGTAAATAACTTCAACTACTTTAAGCTAAGGGACTATTTACTAATACTGCATATGGATTTGCAATATAGAATATCCAAATATATTATATTTTTAGTGCTATTTTCTGCTGTGACTATTACTGTTTTGTTCTCAGTGTTCTGTCATATATTACTGTTTTGACTAATTTCCAAGGGTTGTTTCTCACTCTCTCTCTCTCTCTGTCTGTCTGTCTCTCTCTGTACAACAGAGTGATTAAAAGTTTTAAAAATTGAGCATACCTTGAATACTCTCCTGGACCCAACCCTTTGTTCTTTCTTCTTTAAATTCTTCCTTACAATACACTTCTTCAGGAAAACCTAGGTATTCCCCTTTGAGCAACAAACAAATAAAATGATAAAAGCACAAACTGGAAAAAGCAAAGATTATCCAACTGGAGCAGAACCTTAGTGTAATCACAGCCATACTCCCAAACCCAGTCTTTGTACGTGTCTCCTCCCTCTCTTCCAGAACTATGGATCAGACCCTGTGTCACATTTTACATGCAGAATTTGAAAGCTGAATCTTCTCTCTTCCATTTCTAATAGCCCATTTACTCACTGGGGCTGATAGCTCCAGAAAATTCAGATGGTCAAAAAGGTCCCAAACTGGACTTGAGCTCCAGGGGTGTTGTCACAAGTTGTGCATCTGATTAAGTGAACTTGAGTTCACAAAAGCTTGGGCTCTCTAGTTTGTCTATAAAGTGTATCTCTACCCTGCCTTCTGCCTGGTTAGGATAGTCAGTCAGATAGGACTATGTGCTTTGCAGAACTGGGACCTAAGCATTTTGCCCTGAGGTGACAAAGCTGCAAGGTAGAGAGTGAAACACTGACTTTGGGATCCCTTCCCCAAATAAAGAGAGGATTACAGGAACAGAATTGCTGGATCAGCCCAGTTGCCTATCTAATCCCTGGCACATGTCCAACAGTTGCCACCACCAGATTTTTCAGAGGAAGGGGCAAGAGAACTGCAGAAAAGAGTTGCAAAGAAACTTACTCCAATTCATTTTCAACGTTCCCCGAAGTGCCAGGGGCTAAAGTCATGCTTTGATGCTCAAGGGTTTATAACTGCATGGTTTTGTTATCTATATACATCTCCAGTCCTTTCTGAACCCTGATAACCTCCTGATCTCTTGTGATATCTGAGGGCAATGAATTCCACAAGATAACCATGAGTAGTGCAAAAAGGCATTTCCTTTGCTCAGTTTTGAATTTTCCCCTTTGTTATTGTGTTATGAGACAAGTAACGAGAAGATCCCAAATTACTTTCTCTTTGCTCTTCATGATGTTGTGTATTTTTACTGTGTCTCCTCCTATTCACATCCATTATACCTTATGTTCTCACTCTTTTCAAACTCTTTGTAGAAGTCTTTCCCCATCCCTTCTAATTCTTGTGGTCCTCACTCCTGAACCCCCTTTATTATAACCCTGTAACTTTTTCTGCAGGAAAAATGCAGCGTGAGACTGGGAGAAGACACACACAGCACAATCCTTCTCCCCCAACACCTGCCCTAGGTTCACCCTCACAACACATTTGGCTTTAAACTAGCGGTCAGCACTAGCAGTTGTAGTGCCTTCGTTGCAAAAGACACCACACCCTGTGCGGTTGGAGTGACTGAGGCTGGTAAGCACAGAGAAAGGGAGAGCGAGCCTTTCTGCACAGCAAGCCGTATGAAGAAATGTTGAGGGATCTGGGAATCTTCAGCCTGAAAAAGAGAAGGCTGAGAGGGGACTTGGTAGCAGCTTACCGCTACATCAGAAGCGTACATCAAGGGCTTGGTGAACTGTTCACCAGAGCACCCTTGGGGAAAAGTACGAGTAATGGTCACAAACCCTAGAAAACTGATTCAGGCTTAACACTAGGAAAACCTACTTCACTACTAGGGTGTCCAGACTGTGGAATAAGCTCCCTCCAGAGGTGGTGCAATCACCTACCTGGGAAGTTTTCAAGAGGAGACTGGAGGGCACCTTGCTGGAGTCCCCTGATCCCAGTTGTCTTTCCTGCCTGGTGCAGGGGACTGGACCCAATGATCTTCGGAGGTCCCTTCTAGCCATGAACAGTCTATGAATCTGTGAACAAGTGGCTGGGCCTTGGCTCCCTTCCTTTACAAGCTTGGGCAAGGTGCTTGCTCCCCATGCCTCTGGGTATGTGGTGTGTATTTCATGAAGTGCCAGCTCCCGGAGTCCCAGGATTGCTGATTAAAAGTAATGACCTTTCAAGCCTGGCAGTTTCCAGAGAAAAGCTCAGAAATGTGACCCTAAGGGGCTCCAATACTGAGACACAGCAAACAGAAACAACCCCCCCAAGCACACGGCTTCCCTGATTTTGGGCCCCCCTGGAGTTTGAGCCTAGCTGGGTCAGGACTAATGGGGCTGGGGTGGCTGCAGCATGGCACATTTGCAGATTCACAGACATTAGGGCTGGAAGGGACCTCCTAAGACCATCGGGTCCAGCCCACTGCCCAAGGGGAAGGAAGTCAGGGAGGGTCAAATGATCCCAGCAAGATAAGTATCCAAATGTTTCTTAAAAGTGTCCAGAATACGTACTGACACCACCTCCGGGAGGAGTCTGCTCCAGGCCTTGGGGGCTCAGAGAGTACAGAAGTTCTTCCTTTTAGCGAGTGCGGTGCGAGCGGTGCACCCGTAAGGCGCTCCTCCCTCTCCCCGTGGGGGAGGGGAAGCCTCTGCCCGCCCAGGCCCCACACTCTGCTCTCTCCGCCCCCAAGGAAAGCGGGGAAGGGAAGGCTAAATGCCCTATTTCAACATGGCCGCTCAGGCATCGCTCTGGCTTCACCCCTCTGACTCTCATCGGCCAAACGAGCCCTTCTGCCCCAACCCAAGATGGCCCCTGCCTCCATCCTGAGGCAGACGGCAGCTTGCCCGCCTCCAAGATGGTGGGCACTCCACGCTCCCCCGGGGGCTTCCCGGGAAGTGACGCGGCGCCGCGCGGCCTGCTGGGAGAAGGGCCCCGTGGGCGGCGGGGCAGGGCGGACCGGGCCGGAGGGGGCGGGGCTGAGCGACGCGATTCCTGTTGCCCGGGGCTCGGACATGGCGTCCCCCTGACGGCGGCCGCCTGCCA